AGAATTTTATGTACTTAATCTAAATAATAAACTTGATTAGCATATGATTGAGATTATCTTAATTTTAATGTGATCAAAGATATAAATCTTTTTATGCATTTGCCTCCTTGTGTATTTTTAAGACATTACTTTTAAGAGCAATTTTAGGTTCGCAATAAAATTAATAGGAAAGTACAGAGATATCCCCCCAAAACCCTGCCCCCACACATGAATAACGTCTCCATTCTCAACATCCTGGTACATTTATTACAGTTGATGAACCTACATTTGCACATCATTATCACTCTAAACCCATAGTTTCCATTAGGGTTCACTCTGGTATTATAAATTCTGTAGGCTTGGAAAAATGTAAAGAGACAGCTATCCATCATCATTGTATCTAGAGTTGGCTAGAGTTGTTTATTTCCTTTCTCCCATTTAGAAGGCTAAAACTTGTTATTTTCTATTTCTCTTCCTTCAGATCGCTTAGGCTCTGATACATCCCAAGTTAGTAACTGGTTAATTAGTTTCTCCTGAGGGCAGACCTTGTTAACAACAAGAATGCTCTAATGCAGCAGTTCTCAACCCGTGTGTCAAAACCCCTTTGGGGGCTCGAATGACCCTTTCACAGGGGTCACCTAAGACCATCGGAAAACACATGTATAATTACATATGTTTTTGTGATTAATCACTATGCTTTAATTATGTTCAATTTGTAACAATGAAAGTACATCCTGCATATCAGATATTTACATTATGATTCATAACAGTAGCAAATTTACAGTTATGAAGTAGCAACGGAAATAATTTTATGGTTGGGGGTCACCACAACATGAGGAACTGTATTAAAGGGTCGCGGCATTAGGAAGGTTGAGAATCACTGCTCGAATGTATTTCAAAATGGTTTCTTTCCCCCTCCACTATCCGATGTATTAGATGTTTCTCATTATTTGCTATGACAACCTGGTCAGGCTACAACAGAATTTGGTACTCCTGTGCCTGGCCCCACCCTGGAATTTTTAACTCTCAGACTTGTCCACACCTAGTCAGTTATAAGCAAGTCATCAGTTACAACTCAGGTTTCCTAGCCTGGCACTGGTTCCAGCAGAGGTGTTTGCTCTGCTATGCTGTGATTCTTTGTCTATTATTCTCTCCAATTTGGGGGGCAGCAGTCTACCTTGTGACATCACTTCTCTTATGGATCTAGCAAGAGTTGTTGATTATTGAGTTTTGTCAGTATTTAATTTGTTAGAAAAGAGTGGCAACTTCCAAGCTCTTTACACTTGGAAGCAGAAGCTAAAGTAATACATTTGTGTTAGATATGTATGTATTCAGAAATTGCATGCATGCACACACACATATATACTCTCCCATGTGCACATAGAATATTTAACCATTATTTTATATTAATCTTTTTCTAATTTCTCTAGGTTGGGTAATCTCTTTAAATTATAAAAACAAAAACAAAACAAAACAAAAAACCGAAACTACTATAATTGGTACTATAATGGGAATATGTTGACAGTTCAACCACTATTTGTACTGAGTTAAGAAGTTATTCAGAGCAATATATCTTATGGAATTTATGTAAAACATGGATATATTTAAAAATCTATTTGTGTTTATTTTGAAATGTTTTACATATTATATAGTTATTTTAAAGTATATATTTTTTTCTCTAGAACAATTTTTTAAAATTCTATACAAATCTTTGATCTATGAGATTTTACTATAGATTATTGATTTTTCTGTACTTCAGAGACGTTATCTTGCATTTTCCTATTATTCAGACAGTGGTAAACACATCTACATGTAATAAAAACTGACCAAGGAACAAAAATGAGCATACAAGTTACTGGCACATGCAAATTATTCTAAAGTATATGCGTTTATCAATCTAAATTCCCATTGATTGCAAAAGAGAAAAATACACTCTTACATATACAAAAGTAAACTTTTTATTGACATTATTATTAAAAATATTAGACTCTTATTTTAATAGGGCTATTAAATATCTTTGGTCTAACAAAGCTATAACCTTTTAGTGTCCTAGTATTATAGATTTGTCACTTAACTGTACAGTTCAAGATGAAAGCTGATAAAAATTATGTGTAGACGAAACCACTATTATAACATGTAATATGGTGTCATGAAAAGTATATCTGCTCCAAAATCTCTGTTTGTGTGCTGTGATATAGAAATTCCCCTACATCATCTTTATAGCTTTGGGCACTTGGCAAGTCTCACTGCATTGATAAATGGATAACTGATTTTCCTATAGTAAAGCCTGCTAAGGGAAACTCCATACTGTTTTCCACAGTGGCTGCATTTGACCCAGTGATCTCACCTCTAGATATATATGCTAAGAAACCTGAAACACTCATCAGAAAGGATATATGCACCCCTATGTTCATAGCAGAGCAATTTACAATAGCTAAGATTTGGAAATAGCCTAAGTGGCCATCAGCAGATAAATGGATACAAAAAAACTCTGATGCATTTATATAATGCAATACTACATGGCAGTAAAAAAGAAAGAACTCTTACCATTTTCAACAGCATGGATGAACCTGGAGGGTATTATGCAGAGTGAAATAAACCCGTCAGAGAAAGGTAAGTATCACATGATCTCACTCATATGTGGAATCTAATGAACCAAATAAACTAATGATCAAAAATAGACCCAGAGCCCTAGCTGATGTGGCTCAGTGGATAGACCATCACTCTGTGGACCAAAGGGTCCCAGGTTCAATTCTGGTCAAGGGCACATACCTTGGTTGCAGGCTCCTCCCCAGCCCCGGCTCTGGTGAGGGCGTGTGCAGGAGGCAACCAATCGATGTGTTTCTCTCACATCGATGTTTCTGTCTTTCCCTCTCTCACTCTCTCTAAAAATCAATGGAAAAACATCCTCATAGAAGCATGAACAGACTTTTGAACCTCAGAGGGAAGACTGAGGAGGGTGGGTGGGAAGAGTTCAACCAATGAACTTGTATGCATATATGCATAACCCATGGACACAGACAATGGGGTGGTGAGGGCCTGTGGGGGCGGGATGGGCGTGTGCTGGAAGAGATTAATGGGGAGAAAAAGGAGGACCTATGTAATACTTTCAACAATAAAGTTTTTAAAAATAAAAAAAAATAAAGCCTTCTTGGAAATCATATTATATAAGCACAAAGTATTATTATTTGAAATATTAGGCTTGTGATTTCTAGAAGAGGCATGTACAGTGTTGTTATATAATAGAAACTAGAGGTGCATGAAATTTGTGCATGGGTGGGGTCCCTAGGCCTGGCTGGTGGTCAAGGCCAATCAGGTTCCCCTCCTCCCTGCCTTCCCGCGTCCTCCTTCCCTCACCGCCAGCGTGCCACCACTGCACAGTTCCCCACCTCCCCACCTCCCCACCTCCCTGCCTCCTCCCCTCCTCCTTCCCTTGCCACCCACGTCCACTGCCACCCACCACCCTGGTTCCCTGTCCAAGCCTGGGGCCCAGCCACAATCAGGTGATTTGGACCTGCCAGCTGAGGGGAGGGACCAGGAGGTTGGCTGGCAGGCCCTGATCAGGTGATCGGGGTCTGCTGGCCAGGGTGAGAAATGGGAGGAGGGACCCAGGAGGTGGCTGGCAGCCCTGAGGAGGGAGTCTGCCCTTGGCCCCCTTGGGAAAGGGGCCACATCTGCTGCCACCTACCCCTGGTTCCACATCCCAGCCCGGGGGCCCGGCAGGCCCTGGGAGATGGGGGCCTGCCAGCTGGGGGCAGGCCCCATTGGTGATTGGAGCCTGCAGGCTGGGACAGCTCCTGCATTGAGTGTCTGCCCCCTGGTGGTCATTGTGCATCATAGTGACCGGTCATTTCACCGTAAAGGTCGCTTAGGCTTTTATATATATAGATTATTTGGTATTTCTTATGCATTGTCCAATTGAGTACTCACAGAGCTTTTAGTCACAAGACTTTGATTATATGTAGAAGGAAATAGTGAAAGGAACAATTTCCAAATACACCAGATGCCATAATCTGAAAATGGTCTTTATTACTAACAATGAATTGATCCTTATGTACTTATTTTGAACAACTTATTCTGCCATTTTTGGCTTGTATTAATTTATCCCCATATCACTTAATGAGAATCATCACAACATTTTAATCTTAATGTTAGTTTGTTTGTTTTTAATTAACCTGAAGGTTTGCCAAGGAAAACAAATGGACAAACAACAGGAGAATGTTGTCAACATTGTATCCCAACAGAGAGACTAATACCTTTGAGCCAATGCCAACTATGCTGCCATAAAGACAGTTGGCTTTATGATGGATGAAAATGAATAAAAGTTACTGATAGGTCTTCGTTAAAGGTCACTTTGTATCTACAACATGCGCTTAAATCATTTAAATTGTTGTCTGAAGGCAAAAATGATACCACTCATCTCTTCTCTAAAAAAATTCTTTGATTCTTTATATTCAACTCAACTAAGTAAATTTGGTAGTCAAAATGCAATGCTTTAAGTTAATAACTTGCAACTGTTTTATAATTCTTAGATATTAATATTTACAGTGATGCTTTGCAATATTTTAGTGATAATAGTGAGTTTTATTTTCATCTTCTTGCAGTCATTAGCTATTTCACTTCTTACGACTATAGCATAAAACCTCATTAAATCAAGTTTTTGCCTCTAAATGCCTCTCAAAATTAAACAAAATTTGAAAGACAGCATATTATACATCTTTAATTTATACTTAATCTTAATATGATTTAGTATTGTAGTCTAGGAATCCAGGTGGTTCTTCATTAACTAATACCCAAAACAGTTCTGTAATATGTCCAAGCTTTTTAAGTGCACACACACACACACACACACACACAGTGCCTTACAACTCAATAATATAACCTAAAAATATAGTGAGCAAGCTTTAAAGAAATTTAAATGCCACATTAGAAAATATCCACTTAACACCACAGAAAACAGCATAGGAACAGAAAGCAGTTGAAGCGTATAGAAAAAAAGGAAAATAGAAATCCAAACAAAAGGCACAGATTGTTAGATTCTAGCCATCCTAGCGATGTAAAATGATATCTCATGTGGATTTGATTTATATTTTCCTAATGGTTAATAATGTCAAGCAAATTTTCACGTGCTTACTGGTGATTTGTGTATCTTCCTTGGAGAAATATATATTCAGATAATTGGCCCATTTTTAAAATTGAGTTGGTGTTTTATTATTTTAATACCAGGAGCCCAGTGTGTGATATCACACGGCTCCGCCCACCCAACTGCAGCCCCGCCTTGACACCTGAACCTGTCCACGCAGAGCTCCAGCGCTCCTGGCCCAGCCCCCAAACTCTCTGGCCTTCTCTGGCCACTTCAAGCCCTGACCTCAGTCCCTCCAGTGGCCTGGGGCTGGTCCTGCCTTCTCTGGGCACCTCCCCCCTTCTGCCCCATCTCTGGAGCAACAGGGCAGTTCTGCCCCACCATGGAGCTGGAGGAGAGCGTGGAAGCCTCCTGCCTGCTGTGCTGTGCTCCTTCCCCTGGCAGGTGGCCTCGGGGCGCTCACAGTGCGAGCAGTGGGTGGTGAAGGACTGGTGAGGGGGGCGCTATTGGCTCTCACCCCTGCCCTCACAGGCACGGGATGGTCCCACCTCCTCCGGGCGTCTCCCAGCTTCTGCCTGTCTCCGGAGCAATGCCCCAGCTAATATGCTAATGACCTGGTCATTACCCGTTAAGGCGTCCCGCTCATTAGCATATTAGCTCTTTATTAGTATACTAGAGGCCTGGTGCACAAAAATTTGTGCACTCGGGGGGTGGGGGGCGGCGGAGGGGGGTCCCCCAACCCGGCCTGTGCCCTCTCGCAGTCTGGGACCCCTCGGGAGATAACGACCTGCTGGCTTAGGCCTGCTCCCGGGTGGCAGAGGGC